GCAGCAGCAGCAGCAGCAGCAAGGCTGCTGGGGTGGGCTCCAGCCCTTTCGCTGGCCGCAGCATTGCTGCAGTGAGGCTGTTTGTGGGGTTCTCGCCAGCAGAAGAAGCACCTGCTGCTGCTGCTGGTGCTGGTGCTGCTGCTGGTGGTCGTGCTAGTGGTGTCGAGGAGCCCTGGAGTGTGCTGCGGCTGGCAGATGCAGAGCAGCAGCTGCAGGGCAGTGCAGTAAGCGTGCAGGTGCGGTGTTCGGCAGCGGCAGCAGCGGCAGCAGCGTCGGCTTAGCTGCCACAGCAGCAGCCTGTTGCAGAGTGTAACACGTAACCTGTTCCTGTCATGGCAGGTAGACTGTCTCTTTGCATGTATGCAGCATACATGCAGCACTACCGCACAAATGAGGAAATGGGCACGCGTAGCTTTTGCAGTAGCCACGCCTCTGCTGTCTCAACCCTGAAACACAATTCAACCTGCCGCAGGCCATCATAGCAGCGCTGCGCCAGGCAGAGGCTTCCCTTGCATCAGCAGGAGCAGCCCCAGGCAGCTTCAGTAGCCAGACCCTGCAGGGCACTCTGCTCAAAGCCCTAGTCCCTCTCATCAGCCCAACAGCACTACCCACAGCTACAGCCATTGCTGCTGCCGCTGGCAACACCGTAAGCACAGCCAGATCTGATCATGTCATCGGCAGCCAAACAACAAGCGGGCTTATTAGCCCAACAGCACCACCCGCAGCTATAGCCATTGCTGCTGCTGCTGCTTCTGGCTATAGCGCAAGCACATGCAGGGCTAGATCTGTATCTGCATACAAGCAGCTGCTGCGGCTGCTGCAGCTGCCAGCACAGTACGACCCGCGCTGCTTACCGCAAGGCAGTCAGGTGCTGCCTGCGCCGCCGCATGCAGCAGCAGCAGCAGTGGCGCCTGTGCACCAGCCCGTGGAGAAGGATGCGGTGCGGCTGCAGGCCAGTGGCGAGGCGCAGTACGCTGGCGATGTGGCGAGCCGCATGCGGGGGCGGCTGCTGTACCTGGCCAGTGAGTGTGATGGTTGATCTATTTGTGCGGAAAAGTAGTGTTGTAACCATCACATCCTCTTGTGCGAGCCAGCAGAGTGCCTGTGGCATGCCTCACTCAGGTTATGCTATTGCTGCCTGTTGGCGTGCAAGGGAAAGAGCTGCACGCCTGCAGTGGTCCTGACAGAGCCACCAGTCAAAAACTGGATTCAGATTCTTCTCCCCGGCAATGCACCCGGCACCTCTGGTGCGCGGTGCTGTCGTCACTCCTGCGCTGTGCTGTCGTCACTCCTGCAGGCGTCAACTCAACCGAGGCACTCGCATCTCTGCAGCAGCTGGACGCCTCAGCCGCACTCTCCCTGCCAGGCGTCACCGGCATCATCACAGCAGCAGACATCCCAGGATCAAACTCAGTCATGGGGGCACCGCTGCTGGCAGATGGCTGCGTTGAATACGTTGGACAGCCTATTGCATTCATTGCGGCTGCCTCTCAGCAGGTGGCTGAGCGTGCGGCGGCGCTGGTGTGTGTTACATACGGGCCGCCGCCGGCTGGTCGGCGGGCTGTTATAACGTTAGATGACGCGCTGGCGGCGGGGGCGTTTTATGAGGAGCTTGCGCCGCTGATGCAGGTTGCAGCTGTGAAGCCTGATGCTGCTGCCAGCAGCATCAGCAGCAGTAGCGCAAGCACCCTTGCAGACTCGAGGATGGACTGCAGCAGCACAGCAGGCACCAGTGACGGTGCAGGCAGCATTGCACGCGGCAGCACGTGTGCTGCTTTCAACAGCAGCACCAGCAGCTGCAGCACAGGAACACCAGCAGACTTGTCTGCAGATGCTGCTGCTGGCAGGCCTGTCGCCGCTGCTGCTGCTGGTGCTGCTGCTGCCTGTGTGGAGCGGCTAATTGCTGCTGCGCCTCGTCAGATCCTGGGTGGCGGCTATGACCTGCCTGCGCAGCAGCACTTCTACATGGAGACGCAGGTGGGCTGCTGCTGGTACAGTCGTTGCCGATGCTTGGCTTTGTTGAGCCAGCATCCGGGTTGTGGGCCTGGCGCAAGCCCTCGTGCATGGCTGGCGGAGAGGACGCAGCATGCTGCCTGTGTGGTGCTGCTTCCATTCTGATCAGTCCTGGCCAGCGCCTAGCATATTGCAGCCGATGCTGTGGACCTCCTGCGGTTGCTTGATGCTGCTGTTGCTGAGAATGATGGCTGCCACATCACCTCGCCCGCACACCTGCTGCTGTGACTGCTGCTGCTGCTGCTGCCATGCCACTGTGCTGCTGCCAGGTTGCTGTGGCTGAGCCGCAAGAGGACGGCTGCCTGCGCCTGACCAGTGCCACGCAGTCGCTGGATGCTGTGCAGCAGGCAGTGGCTGGCGTGCTGGGGCTGCCCTTCAACAAGGTGGCTGTAGGTGCGTGGCAAGATGCTTGCTGCAGCTAAGGGCAAGGTTAGGCCAGCCTGGTTGAGTCAGGGAGCAGGCATGCAGATTCTGTGGCGGGGGTGCTGGGGCTGCCCTTCAGAAAGGTGGCTGTAGGTGCGTTGCAAGATGAGGCAAGAGCCGAGGCCTGTGGCCAGCTAGGCTGATTCAAGTCTGCGTGTTGACGCACTGCTTGTCGGCTGCATGTGGTGGATGTGTATGTGGTGCTGCGTCAGCTCGCAGCTAGCACAGGCAGTACAGTGCTGCTAGGGGGTTTGTTTCACGCTAAGCTAGTGCACGACTCACTGTGGCTGATTCCAGCGTACATGCGCATGCCTTGCTTGGTGCAACTGCCCACATTCGACTTGTGTTGAGATTGCTCGCTGGTGAACTCATTTGCTGTCCCTGCTAATGTTCATCCACCCCCACTGCGACAGTCACAAAGCGTTTAGGAGGGGGCTTTGGGGGCAAGGCCAGCCACAGCATGCCTGTGGCTGCCGCTGGGATGGGGCTGCATTACAAGCTCCACACAGTGCATGGCTCACTGTGGCTTGTTGGCGCGTACATGCACATGACTTGCTTGGCTGACCTGCCCTCTTCCGTTCTGTGCTGCTTATCCAATTGTCTGCCTGCCTGCCTTTTATCAAAACCCCTGCGACAGTGACAAAGCGCCTGGGAGGGGGCTTTGGTGGCAAGGCCAGCCGCAGCATGCCTGTGGCTGCCGCTGCAGCGCTGGCGGCAACGCTGTTTGACGCGCCCGTGGTCTACCAGCTGAGCCGCTGCGACGACTTTGCGCAGAACGGCGGGCGCTGCGCGGGGCGGCTGCGTTATGATGTGGGCTTTGAAGAAAGTGGCAGGCTGGTGGCCGTGAAAGCAGAGGTGAGCCATCAGTGAGTAATCCTTCGAACTTGCTTTATATCAGGTTAAGGTGCCAGAGAGCATGTGCGGGGTGGCTGAGATTGGACGCAGGCTTCCAGCAGGCTGGCAGGCTGTTGGCCAGCAATGCGAAGAGGTAAGTGGGACGTGGCTGAGGATAACGGAATGCAATACGGCTGAGGCCCATATGCCTGCCTGTGCCAAGAACTTGGTACAGATGCATCAATTGGCAGCAGCAGCAGCAGCAGCAGCAGCAGCAGCAGCAGGAGCTGTTGCAGGCAAGACTCCTGTAGGTGTGCTGTGCCACCCTGCAGTTGCCACAGTGCATGCTTGGCACGCCAGTACTTTCTGTTATTGTTGTTTGGACATGACAGAAGCTGCAGGCCAGCCATCTGGCCAGAAGAACCAACATTGCGTGTTGACACGTGTCAACATGCTCTGCTCATGCATTTTTTGCTCACAGGTGCTGCTTCGTGCGGGAGCCTACCTGGATCTAGCCAGCAACGATGGCGCGCAGCTGCTTGCAGCCAGTGACAGTGCATATGACCTCAGCGGCCTGCATGTGACTGTGAAGTTTGCGCGCTGCAACCTGCCACCACACACCATTGTGCGGGGCCCTGGGTACCTGCAGGGAGTGATGGTGTTGGAGCAGGTGTGGACATTGGTGCTAGCCGGATGACTTCGCTGCAGCCCCTCACCTGACAACATTCATGGTTCAGCGCAGCCATATCAACCGTGGTGGTTGGTGCCAGCAAGTTCTGCAATTATCTTTGCCCTTTTAGTGACATGCTGCGTGTGGTTGTGCTGGCAGAGTAGCAGCTGTGTTTGACCAGCTGTTGTAATGTTTGACCAAGTTTGACAAACCTGCTGTGGTTTGACTGTTCCGCGCTGCCCTGCATGTTCACTGAAGTGCAGATCCTGGAGCATGTTGCCGCGGCGCTTGGTCTAGACCCTGCTGCAGTCAAGGCAGCAAACTTCTTGCCAGAAGTGGCAGGACCCACACTTGATGCTGCCCAACAGCAGCAGCAGCAGCAGCCAGCACCAGCACAAGCAGCAGCAGCTACAGTAGATGCTGCGGCTGGCAGCGTTGCAGGTGCTGCTGCTTTTGCAGCAGACATGGGCAGGCTGTGCCTTGGCTCTGTTTCTGCGCTGAGTCAGCACACACATCTGCAGCAGCAGCAGCATCAGCAGCAGCAGCAGCAGCAGCAGCAGCAGCAGCAGCAGCAGCAGCAGCAGCAAGGTGGTGTGAGGACCATCCTGGGGCGGTACATATCACGTGACAGTTACACACTGCCTCGTGTGTGGGCTGAGCTGCTGCAAGGGGGCCCCGGCACTGCCAGCTATGCAGAGATGCTGGAGGGTGTGCAGGCGCACAACAGGGACCATGCGTGGAGCAAGCGCGGCATTGCTGTCACGCCAGTCAGGTGAGGTGGTCGCTGCACTTCCTGTGACCAGAAGCAGCCATTTGTTGTTGTAGCTCTGCTGGTTGCTGCTGATTTTTTTCCCTGCTATGCTTGCGTGTGAGCAAGGCTTACAGAAGGAAAGCAAACGGAACGCGGCCCTGTGGTGTTGTTAGGGTTGTGCGCTGGCTGCACCATGCAGCTCAAATTGAAGAGCACCGAGCCGCGCTCTCATCGGTTCGAGAGCACGAACGCCCTGGTAAATCGCAACCAGCATATTATAGAGTTTCAGCACGAGCAAAACCAATGTCTTTCCCCCACCGGGACTCGAACCCGGGTCGCGAGGGTGAGAACCTCGTATGCTAACCGCCTACACCATGGAGGAGGCAGCCGGCGAGCAGCTCGCCAACTGATCGTGCTGGACATGGCTGGGCCAGCAGCCTTGACGGTGCCGGCGCGCGCAACAGCAGTAGGGTCGGCTTAGCTAGTTGCAGCGGTAGGAGTGGTTTTCTTTGTGCTGGGATGTAGTGCAGCCTAGTGCTTTGTCATGCAGCAACAACAGTGTGGTGTTGCAGCCAGGTCTCTGTAAGTGTTGCTTGCATGCTGTATCATGCCATGCGCTTACATGCTTGCTTTGCCATGCCATGCTGTCCCTTGGAGGCGACCACTCGGTTGTGCTGCAGCATTGTGGTCATTTTGCTAGGCGGGCAGTGAGGCTGCAGACTTGCTGTTCCGTCGTGATGGTGGTGGGGGACGGAGTTGGACTGAAACCCTACCTGGCTGGTATGATACGCCAGTTCAAGAGGCTGGAATTGCCTGGCCCCCATGTGTAACAAACACAAACAAAAAGGCTATGTCGCTTGCTGTTTGGACCATGCCTGCCTTCCCTTGCCCACCCCTGTAACAGACCTCTCCTGTGCAGACCCGCCATGTGTGCCTTCTGCAGCAGAGCAGCATGTTGAGGCCATGTTGGTGGCGCGGCTAGGCTGGCGGAATCATCGCGGCAAGACGGTGTCTGTTGCGCAATTGTCTGTTCGTGAAGCTACCTCATTGCAGCTTGGTCCCCTGCGTGCTGAGCGCCAGGAGCGGCGCACTAGGTTTGTCAGTGTTGCGATCGGTGCGGGTGCCCCGCCCGCGGCGTTGACTCGTGGTTTGCAATGTGTGGCGGCCGCCCAGGGCGCACTATGGAAGATGCGCTGGGATAATGCGTACAAGGAGACGTATTGGCGGCTGATCATGGATGGCTTGCCTACGTCGCAGCGCATGCACCAGCAGCATGATACATGCATGTGTGGCGCTGCGTGCCCTGGTCTGGTGCACCATTTTTGGGAGTGCCCAGTTGCGGCAGCGGTGATTGACAGCCTGCTGTCTGCGTTGCCTGCAACATGGTGTACGCGGGCTGCAGGCCGCCCGCCGCTTGCTATGCGGCATGTCTGGTTGATGCAGCGGCCTCCCGGCCCTAAGCGGCTCCACCAGGGTGTTTGGGGGGTTATTTGTTTAGCTGCTCTGAATGCCATGGATGTTGGCCGACGGCAGGCTAACACGCTGCACATTCCGCCGCCCGCGCCTGCTGCGCCGCGGCCGTCTGCGCCGCCGCCGCAATGGCAGGTACCTATTACAGATGTGTTTCAGCCTGCAGCTCTCACTGCTGCGCAGCAACAGCATAACCAGCTGGTTGAGCAGCGTAGGCAGCAGCAGCTGCTGCAACAACAACAACAGCGACAGCAACTAGTAGCGCAGGTGTTACAGGAGGCGAAGCAGCAGGCGGTTTTGCGGTTTTGGGAATTGCTTGCTGATTTTGTGGCAATGGAGGCTGCGCCGGCTCATTGGCGTGTTGCGGTGCCTGGAGATCACCCGTTCTTGCGATCTGATCCAGCACAGCTGCGCATTGTACTGGCGCCCCGCTCTGGTTGACCTTCCTGCTTTTACATGATGTGCTGTCAGTAGTTGTCCAATCTCCACTTTCTGGCAAGGCCATGTTGCATGTCGTGTGTCACTGTGCTTGATTTTCCAGCTCTGTGTGTCGCATTGCGTGCTTCTGTGCTTGTCAGCCATGAGGATTGCAGAAGCAGTAGCACCTTAGTTTGCATGTCACATGCAGTGTCTCCTGTCGGTCCCGCGTGCTCCTGCTTGCTGCAGTCTGGTGTGTACATCAGTGCCTTGGTGCAATCATGCCAAACACCTATGGTAAGCAGCACCATTGTGCATCCCGCTTGCTGTTTGGACCATGCCTGCCTTCCCTTGTGCGTTTTGTGCCCTGTGCTTTGAGCACCCTGCTGCTTTTCGTGCTGCACTTCGCACATGCTGCACTGCATGTACTTGTTGGTTTATGGGGAGGTAGGGGCTGCAAGATGCCTCTGGAGTATTACTTTGGTTGCATCTTGTGGCTTGCTATCGGGTTCTCATGATATGTGAGCTGAAAGAGGGGCAAGTGACTCGCTCTAGGGCGATAGCTTGCCCACCCCTGTAACAGACCTCTCCTTGTGCGTTTTGTGCCCTGTGCTTTGAGCACCCTGCTGCTTTTCGTGCTGCACTTCGCACATGCTGCACTGCATGTACTTGTTGGTTTATGGGGAGGTAGGGGCTGCAAGATGCCTCTGGAGTTTTACTTTGGTTGCATCTTGTGGCTTGCTATCAGGTTCTCATGATATGTGAGCTGAAAGAGGGGCAAGTGACTCGCTCTAGGGCGATAGCTTGCCCACCCCTGTAACAGACCTCTCTCGCTATGTCGTGTGTCACTGTGCTTGATTTTCCAGCTCTGTGTGTCTGCGCATTGTACTGGCGCCCCGCTCTGGTTGACCTTCCTGCTTTTACATGATGTGCTGTCAGTAGTTGTCCAATCTCCACTTTCTGGCAAGGCCATGTTGCATGTCGTGTGTCACTGTGCTTGATTTTCCAGCTCTGTGTGTCGCATTGCGTGCTTCTGTGCTTGTCAGCCATGAGGATTGCAGAAGCAGTAGCACCTTCGTTTGCATGTCACATGCAACTATGGTCACCGAGATGTCCAGCTGCATGTCCAGGCATGTCCAGTTGCATGGTGTGCAACTGGACATGCCATGTGGCATGTCCAGTGTGAGACTGGACATGGCCATGTCCAGCATGCTGCTGGACATCGAGTAGGTGACTGGACACGATACTGGACACGGCAATTGGACTTTCATAAACTGCCTATTACCGTTATAACAAACGTATTTGATGCAGTAAACAAGTGTTCGCGGCAGGACAGCAATGTCGAGGTGCTTGGGTTGGCGCCCTCGACCCCCTGGTACCAAGTCACTGCAGCTGCAACTGCCAAGTGGGCAAGTGACCCATGGGCTGTAACACAATCAGCATGTAGCTGCTGCAATACAAACAGAATCTGGCAGCTGCTGCAATCACAACAACATCAACAGCACGCAGCTGCTGCTTGACAGCAAAGGCACCCAGCTGCTGCAATTACAACATAAGCAGTGAGGACACCACGCGGAACAGCTGCCAAGAACTGCATTGTCAAGATTGCGTCTCTACCACTTGTACAGATGATGCCTATGCCAACTGCATTCACTGTGCATCCTGTTGCAGGCAGCGCCAGCACAGCAATGCACCAGCTGCCACTACCGCTGCATGCCACCATCTGCCAACGAAAACATACAAGTTCCAGCAGCTGCTGATCGCGCACTGGTGTCTGCGTAGCCGGCATCAACTGCGAGTTGGCAGGCTGCCACTGCCTGCATTGATCACAAGTGTAGCGGTTGTTTCAAAGAACACCCCTGCAGCAGTGCAGCAGAAACAGAGCAGCTGCACTTACATTTGCATGCTGCAGCGTAGGATGTGGCACTTGTTGAGGTTGGCGTTATCTCAATTAAGGTCTGGGCCAACCGGCGTTTGCGCGTTGATTGGCGCCCGCCACGCACCACTACATGCAACACTACAGAGCAGCAGCATCTGCGCCAACATAATCGCTGCCACTGAATCGCACATATGAGGCAGACTGCTTGCAATGCCACACCGCTCAAGCTCACCAGGAAGTGCATCAGCCATGCCACGCTGCCGGAAAGTCGGCCCCTGTGTCTCTATAGGGAAGGTCTGCGCACCAACAGAGGTGTCATGTCAACATATCACAATGGTGGTCTCCAAGCAGGCTGTCTGCTGCTGCATTAGATACAGTGGCGCCATGCTGACTGCAATCAAGTAGGACCCATGCACGCAGGAAGTAAAAGCTGGATGGGTGGCGCGCACACCACATGGAGGGCATTGCGAGCAAGTATGGTGTGTGTGAAGTGCGTCGCAAGCACGTTCCACATTATGCAACTGCTGGCCTGCTGGGCATGCTGTCTGCTGCGTGCGTATGTTCATGCACGCGTTGCCAAGAATAATCACGACAAGCCCTGCAGCAAGCGGCATGCTCTTGATTGGGGAGAGCTGTCACTTCACAGCAGCAGCAGCAGCAGTAGCAGCAGCTGTAACCTGCTACCTGTTAGGTTCTAACGTTTTTCGTTATTCTGACCTACCTGTGATGCTGGGAGACGGGCAGCTGACAGGAGCCTGCACACAGCAGCAGCAGCAGCAACGCAGGTGACACACAACTGCACCTGTGGACAACCTGCATGCACCCAGCCTCTACAGCTGACATAGCACGGCTGATGCTGCTGCACTGCTGCAACTGATCTTGATCTGGTAATGGTGTGATCATTCCTGCGACAGTACTGCTGCACTGCTGCAACTGTAGCTGCTGCTGCTGCTGCTGTGAGCTGGGCGCCCTAGCAGCTGCAGGGCTGGGTGCTGTCGTTTCAGCCGCTGCTGATCTGGGTAAGAGTCGCTCACCATGTCATCAAAGTATCAAGATAAGCAGTAGCAGCTCCATGCGCTTTCTACAGCCTTGAAATCCTGCATTATCAACCTTGCAGCTGCATAGTGCTTCAAGGACTGCTGCTGCTCAATGAGCAGGCGTCTGCAGCCTCACAAACGCCCAATAACCGCATTGATCTGTTGTCATTCATTACGCTTTCAGCGATGGTCTCTGCCAGTGGACACGAGCTTGCAGTCTGTTTCAGCCCCGTGCACCATATGCAACGCAGCAGCAGTGCGCGACACAGGTGCGATCGCTGTAATGCTTCAGCAGTAATCATATTGATCATCGTTTGCAGCTGTTTGCTTACCAGTAGACGAACAGTTCACGAGCGTATGCCAACTGACCATTTTGTATTTTAACAAGTGACACACCTTGCAGCAGCGCGCAATGGGGCTATACGGGCCATTAAACTTACTGTAATAGAACTAAACGATGTGTTTGGAAAGGCTGCTGCTTCGGCAGCGTGGGAAAGTCGTGCAATGCTGTAGTGACATGCTGATCTTCGCCTTGAGGCGCTGTCGTGTCATAAGACACCATAAATGCTGCTTTATATG